TTGCTTACATGGCTCCTGGTGTGACCACCAAATAAATAAGTCAATTAGGTACAAATTAGTCCATCTAGCAATCCCAGTCAATGCAGATGCTAATTTTAACTATTTGGGCTTCAGGACACATCCTATGAATCACAGGCTTCACAAATCGTACATACTGCGCATGCTGGGCAGCAATTTCCCATGGCTGCATGCAGAGAGATATGGAATGTTTGCATCTGCTGGACTGTGCATCACATGCAAGGAACAACCCCCCCCCCCAAAAAAAAAAAAAAAAAAAAAAAAAATCGATAAATACATTTAAAAAATGAACACGAAACAACTTTTAGCCTTTAGTAAGAGACAAAGGGGAATAGCTCTTGACCCAAGGGTATAGTGGATAAATAATTAAAACTTAACTTTTAATATCAAAAAAAGAAACAAAAATCTGTTCCAATTCACACTATCAAGTATGACATACGGTGAAAAACAAATAAATAAAAATCTCGAAGATACTTTATTGTCAAACCAAAAACACATACACCCTAGCTATGACTGCCTGACTTAATCGAGAAGTCCATTACGGCAGTTCAAGCAAAAATACACCCCCTGATGAGCTTTTAATCTAAGGCGAAACGCGCATCGGTGCTCGACGGCAGTTATTATTCATTTACACATCAGCTCTGTTCTCCTGGATGTCCCCTTACCTTTATAGGTAGATTTTGACAACGGGATATACTTATGAGCCACTTTGGCATCCATAGCAATTCAGATGTTTGATAACCATGCATGGATTTTAGACAGACCAGTTACTGATCAGGGGATATGAGCAATATGAACTAATAGACATACTATTTTGTTATACACTAGTTTTCCGGTTCTCTGTTTGATAGCATCAGGACTTTGTCTTTTTTCTCTACTTTATCTATACCAGGTGCTCTTGAAGGCACCTTTCCAACTATTTTTACGTTTTTATTTTATATACAGTTTTGTAAATGTAGCACTTCGGTTTCTTTATTGAGGTAACCAGCATATTACTGCCGGTTACACTCAGTAGATTGACAACGCGATCTTCTTAATACCAGAGACCGGACTGTATGTGTATAGACAGGTCATTTAATTGCCGCTATATAGACTAGGCATATTCCCACGGGCTGTAGCTATTTATATCGTGTTAGTTACTTTTTTTTGACACATTGACACAATACTGTATCGGATCTGTTTATGATACATTGATAATAACCAAACTTGATACACGCTGCATAGTAAACCTAGTGGGAATCTAATTTATTTAGATGATTTTGTGGGATTTTTCTTAATATTTCCCCTGTACTTGGACCTATTTATCAAGGCAAATTTATTTTGCTTTGTCTTGTTTTTATGTTTTTCGTTTGTTGTGTATTTTTGCTTGAACTGCCGTAATGGACTTCTCGATTAAGTCAGGCAGTCATAACTAGAGTGTATGTGTTTTTAGTTTGACAATAAAGTATCTTCGAGATTTTTATTTATTATTTGTTTTTCACTGTATGTCATACTTGATAGTGTGAATTGGAACAGATTTTCGCTTCTTTTTTTGTTATTAATTGTTTAGGGTTACCCCCTTATCTGTTCCTATAGATATAGGGACATTGATCTTCTGGCCACTCTTTAGTTTATTCATTTAACTTTTAATATGTACAAAAAGGGGAGATACAAGTGGATAAAATCTCAAGTGTTGCCACTAGATGGAGACAAAACCAGACTGAGCTAAATGACTAGCATCAAGGGAGAAGCACTTGCGATGTATATACAGTATAGGATGTGGGGGATCCAAAAAAAAAAAAAACTATATATGTATAAATATATAAACACATACATACATATATATATATTATATATATATATATATATATATATATATATATATATATACATACACACACACACACATACATATACACACACACACACACACACACATATATATAAATAAAAATTTACTCTGTGATGTCAATATATAAATAAATAGCAACAAGCTGTGTCCACTGTAATATTTATACTTTTACCTCTGAGGTGCAACCTGAAACAGTAACATCATGTTTGCACTACAGTGCCAGGGGGAACCCTCAGCAATACAGAATTGCAGGCAGAATACAGCGGCTGCTAGATATAATGGAAGGTAAGGTCCTAGTGGGACAGAGTAAATAATGTTGGTAATCGGTGTGGTAAAACCGGAGTGCTGGTTAATATAGAAAAACTCTCTCTGTATAGCACTACCGGTAAAAATTCACCATTGATATATACAGTGTACCGTCAAAAAAACGGCGGGAAAATAATTCTGCTCAAAATATAGTATCGGTAGTGGCTAAAATGGTAGCTGTACACTGAAGGAAGATGAATAGATAATATCTAGATGAGTCTGTAAGGGTTCGCTAATCTGTGCCTTCAAGGGCACCTATTGAGAAGTGAGTCCTTCTATCTCTATCTGTAACTGAAGAAATATATTGGCTTGTCGGCAGATAGTAACCCTGCAATAATAAACTATTCTGTGCCTTCAAGGGCTTCTATCAGAGGTGGAGTCTGGCTATCGCAATCTGCTACTATAAAGCAGAACGCCAAAACGTCTGAACACCCAGGTCTGACAGCTGCTAAAGGATTTCATACGTGGAGGTCTGTAAGAATCCGTGTACATATGATATGGTACGCTAATGATCAGGATCTATCTGTAAGTAGCCTGGGTGTCAGATAGAGCCCCGACGTGCGTTTCGGCGGTCAGGCGGTTCTTCAGGAGGAAATGACCCTCTGTACACAGAGGGTTTAAATGTCGAGCAGTGTCGGATGATTGGTGGAAGTGTGGCCAATCAAAGACGTAGTTGAATTGATTGACTAATGAAGCATCCAATAAGATAAATCTAAATGATTAATCGCATGGTAATTTGTCAGTAACCTCAATTAAAAAAAAAATTTTTAATTGCCATAATTTAATTAAATGAAGTGATCACCAACAGTGGATAGGCTGTATGACTGATAATATAAAGATGTGTAATAAGGATATAATGAATATTTGAGGATAGTATTTTAGGATTTGCCAATACCACCACTTCTGGTCCAACAAGTTGTTTATTTCCAGTCAGTGAAGCTCCACATATATCGGTTCTCCACTCTGCTATGATGCAGATGAGGTGTCATTTTAATAACGCATTTTTGCACCTCCTAGACTGATCCAAATCTTTGACACAGAAATAATCACTCACTTTAGCTAGCGAGATTAGCTAATGACAAAGCAACTTATCAATGTTGCTGAGAATCTGTTGACTTTCACCTAAAACATCATGGTTTGATAGTGGTGCTCTGGATAAAGCAGAATCCTGCCGGGAGGTGGAAATCTGCTGCCATCTACCTGTGGAAGCCACAAATTGTGAAAATCCACCCATTACAGAATTGGGTACACCCACTTTGAACAGGACTGCTTCATTTTACCTAGCATCACCCCAGCCCCTCCACCACTTTGGGTATTCACAATAAGATAGGAAACTCTGTCAAGCACCCCCAAATACCCCACATTTTTCTGGTTGCCCAGATTTGGGACCCAAGTTCCACTTCCCTGTTTTTAAAATCTTGCACTAGCCATAAACTGAGTGCACGTGATAGTCTGTATAAAACAGAGGCAAGATGAATGGAATCTATGTGCAATGCGGAAGCCACACTAACATGCCATGTTCTATTTTTTGTAAGATTATTACTTACAGTTGAAGTTTTCCCTGCTCAAACAGCTTCAATGCCTTCTTCCTTTCCCCAGCACTGAGGCGGGATGAGAACTCTGCAACACTGATATCTCCAAAGCTTTGGAGCAGCAGGAACAGGCTATGGGAGAAACAAAAACCCATGAGCAGACACACTTTATGACACATACTTAACAGACAACATGAAATATGCAGTGTTCAGCATTCACAGTCAGAAAGAAAAAAATATATATAAAAATAGTTGGAATGCAGGCATGACTAACCAATGTCAATTTATGCCATAGCAATACAGGAGAAATAAACAATTAAATGATGCACAGGAAAAAAAAAAAGAAAGAAAAAAAAATATGTTATGGTAAAAGAAATAATCTAGAATTCTTCTATTTCTCATAGAAAAATACCTATTAAGGATATGTCACAAATATTTAGTTAGGACAAAATTTCTCTGTCATTTAAATAAAAAAAACAAAAAATAAAACATTCTAGCATGTATCAAATGCATGTGTGACAGCATTTTATAGGACGGCATGAGCTTACTCACCGGTGACATGCCTCTCTTGTATTGGTGAAGCAGAGGACTCTGGTAAAACGCAGTGAAAGCAGTAAATGGAGCAGGATAAGAGGCTTGGAGTTCAGGTTACATGGGATATAATAATGCTACAGGGAGACAAAACGTAGAACAGTCTTTCCCACTATGAAAACATTTTAAATTGAAAACCTTAAAAGAAATTTAACAAACAAAAAGAAAACAGAAAACTGCAAAACACTACTGTGTATTTATATATTTAAGTGTAAGATCAGCTGCTGTGATTCTGCCCCCAGAATGATGGAAGCACCAGGATCTCAAAAGACCCTGGTGAGGTCTCCTTGTGTGTCCTTCTGCAGTCTTTAGCCTGGCACTCGACAATAGTAGAAAAAATATTTCTACACTAATCTACTGTTAACTGAACATGTTTATTTATTTTTTTGCAAATCTTTTTTTTTTATTAAGGTAAATGCACAAAATATACATGCCAGATAGAATTTATGTTTTTAAGAATATAGGTGTGTGTAGTGGATGCAGTGTGTGTGTGTGTGTTGGTGTAGTGTGTATAGAATGAATGCAGAGTGTGTGTTTGTGTAGTGTATGTATAGTAAATGCAGTGAGTGTTTGTATAGGCATGTAATGTGAGTAAAATGGGGGGGGTGGGAGGGAGAGAGAGGATGTTTTTTTTTAAATATTTAATTTACCATTTTGTTTTAGTCCCCCCCTCCCTGCTTCTTACCTGGCCAGTGAGGGGGATATGGCATTCCCTGGTGGTCCAGTGGCATGGACTGTGCAGAGGGGGCCCAGAAACACTCTTACTTCCCTTCCCAGCAGCTCCCCTGTCTAACTCTCACGGCCTGTGTGCTACGTGGAGCGTTGCCATGGTAAACCGTGGCAACGCTCTGACGGCCGCAGGACTCACGAAATTTAGACAGGAGAGCTGCTGGGAAGGTAAGTGTGCTGTGGGCCCTCCAGGACCATGACAACTGTCTCGGTTGTCATGCCCTATCTGCATTCTTTATAGGCCGATACCGATATTGCAGAAAATTCAGAATATCGCCAGATAATATGGGCCAGATCGATAATCGGTCGATCTCTACTCAACAATGCACTTCAATTCTTTGCTCCGGGGCAGTTTCATACATACATTTGCAGAAAGGAGAGCATGTAAGGGACTTTAATGTAAGGATAAACGTGTGCTTTTATTGCAGTATAAAAGACATTAAACATTGTGTAAAAAGTTCCAGTCACACAACTGAAACACTGGCTGTCTTTGATGCTGCAATAAAAGCACACAAAAAAAAAAAAATTGCCTTTTGTGCACATAAAACTATATCCTAGTCAGTAAAAGCCCTTGAGTGCGCTCTGCTTCCTGCAAATGATGTACATAAACAATTATTTATATTTCACATATATAGGCAGTATTTAGTCCAATTGTGCCTCTTGGAGTAGTCTTTAATTTATAGGTAAAACAAAAAAAAAAAAGAGCCATTTATGCATTTTTAAAGGGAAAGACAGTTCCATTACCACTACAGCTTCTTGTTGGCTACCCCAGACTGTTAATTTTCAATATTCTTGCAGTTGTCTTTATTTTAAGGTTAATTCAATTAAAATAGTTGTCGTAAATTCAATGTGAATTTCAGAGTTTAGGACAAAATAGCTTAACTACAAAAAAATTTAATATTACTTTGAAATCACAACAATTCTAACTTGAGTAAATAACCCTGTGGTAGTACAACCTTACTAAAGCTATTAATAAGAGACAGAGAAAATATATTGTTAGATCATTGTTTCTATATAAGTATGACACAATTACAAATTTAATATGCCTGGTATTTAAATAAAAATTAGCATTTGCAGAAGTCTTTTTAAACTACTCACAGTTAGCCCATCTGGAAGGGAACAGTTTCCTATATTGCTGGTTTCTTCAAGGCCTGCACTGAGCACATTGTGTGTGGAGGTGAATAGTCTGGGCTGATACAGGTCTAGAGGTTGAAGGATTTCTGGGTTCTTGGTCAAGGTGGCTGAGAACAGCAACTTCTGCAAAGGAGTTTGGCATTGGGAATAGCTGAAAAGGTAGGTACGTAAAAAGAACAATTCAATTACACATTGTATTCTAAATGAAGAAAGGCAGAGGACAGGCAGCATGTAGCAAAAAAGATGAAAGTACCACAAATAGTGAGAGCTTAAGACCTCCTAGGAGCCAGATCGTACAGGCAATACACAACAGTATTACAAAAAGTCCAACAATTTAGGCTACACCTAATGGAATGATTGGTTGTATAGAGAGAGGTATTCGCAGTAGAAAGAGGGAAGTGCTCATGCCATTGTACAGAACACTGGTGAGACCTAACTTGGAGTATTGTACGCAGTACTGACGACCATATCTCCAGAAGGATATTTATACTTTAGAGAGAATTCAGAGAAGGGCAACTAAACTGGTTCATGGATTGCAGGATTTAAAAAAAATAAATAAAAAAATTACAAGGAAAGGTTAAAGGAACTTAACATGTATAGCTTGGAGGAAAGACGAGACAGGGGACATATGATAGAAACATTTAAATGCATTAAGGGAATCAACACAGTAAAGGAGGATACTATATTTAAAAGAAGAAAAACTACCACAACAAGAGGACAGTCTTAAATTAGAGGGGCAAAGGTTTAAAAATAATATCAGGAAGTATTACTTTACTGAGAGGGTAGTGGATGCATGGAATAGCCTTCCAGCTGAAGTGGTAGAGGTTAACACAGTGAAGAAGTTATAGCATGCATGGGATGGGCATAAGTCTATCCTAGCTATAAGATAAGGCCAGGGACTAATGAAAGTATTTAGAAACTTGGGCAGACTAGATGGGCCGAAATGGTTCTTATCTGCAGTCAGTCTAAGTTTCTATGTTATACCACAAAAGTCAAATTATAATTAATTATTTAGCTACTCTGAGTACACAGCAGATTCAAGACAGAAGTGGCAACGGATTTCAGCTACTTCCCAATGCAATAAGGGTAAAAATGAAGAGATTATTTACCTGGCTGCTGTCACAATGCCAGGTTCCTTCCTGGCAAAGAGCATTCTGGGAGCACCAGGCTTTACCTGATAGACCGCCTTGGTGACATGATGAAGCCAATCTTGAAACTTGTTGTCAATCATTCGATCTGCTTCATCAATGACCTGCGTGAAAACAAAAAGTCTCAATTAATCATCATCATCATCCACAAATTAAAAAAAAAAAGAGGAAGGAAAAATCCTCAAAGTCTTGTTTTAATATGGAAACCAATATATATGCTAAGGTAATGCTTATGCAAATACAGTTCTGATTTGCAGATAGCATTGTTGCATAGACTATACAATTGCCCTGGTACTTCCACTACCCTTTTAAACTATTTAGGGTTAACTCGGCTTACTAGAAAGCGAAGGTGCCTCAGGTTAAAGCCTTCAGTCCTCTGAATGTGATCAACGAGCCTTCCTGGAGTTGAGACAAGAATATCTCCCAAGCTACAGAAACCAGACGACCTGTGAGGAAAATAAATAAATAATGAAAATCGAGGAAAAGGAAGGTTACAAAATCTTGGGATCAGAAAAAAAATAAGATTTGAAAAAAAAAAAATTTTAAAAAAGAGGAAAAAGAAAACACTTTGAACCAGACTGAAAGATATCAGTGGAAGAAAAACAGAACTAGTTGGGATAGCCAAGACTTATATGGCAAAAAAAAGGAAAAAAAAACCAGCATAATGATAAAAAATAAATAAAATATATATATATATATATATATATATATATATATATAAAAATAAAAGAGCAATATAGAGTCACCAAAAACTCACTTTTTCTGCACAAGAGATTCTTGTTCTCTGGTAAAAGATTTCTGGCCAGCTAACAAGACTACTTTCAACCTTGTAGAAGTCACATATATGTTAAATACTTTACAGACCTAGTGAGAGAGAATGATGTCAAGAAGGAAGAAACTTGGATAGAAAACAGCCTGATTAAATTGTTAATGTGAGTTAATCTTGTTAGAGAAATGCTTGGAGATCACCTGTTGTGCTAGCTCTTTGGTAGGTAACAAGACGAGTGCTCTCACTTCACACACCACCCGATCCATGAGGGTCTGATAAGAAAGAAATGGTATGAGAACAGGAATTTGAATATAGTAATACTATAAGGTTTATTCACTAAGGAGGATTGTCAGGAAATCAAAGTTTATTTCAAACACAAAGATAACTGAACTGGAAGCATACCTGACTATTTTCAGGTTGGCTAGTCCAGACTTAATTTTGAAATTCACTTTAATTTCCTGGTAATTGTCACTTTATTAAATAATCCTCTAAGACTCACCTGCACTATGGGAACAACAAATGCTAGAGTCTTTCCACTTCCTGTAGGTGCAGACACACATATGTCACTGGGTCGATAACCACCTCTCCCCAGCAGGAAACCATGGCTGCAGCTTTCCAAGATGGCAGGTATAACTTCTGCTTGAACTAACAGACATGGATAGATTGGATTAAATCAAGAGGAGAGGCAAAAGGAAAAAGTAAGAAAGAAACACAAAACTCAAAAACTCTAAAAAAAGAGTATGGTTTTATCTGTAATGTGAGTAGGGGATAAATTGTATTTCTCTATTCACTGAGGTAACCATTCACATACCCCCTTAATACTGGCTGGGATACAATAAAACAAGTCCCATGGCGCTGAAATAATGTGTTGTAATGGCTGTAAATATAACCACCTGGGAAGAAAGTCTTCACATTGTTGGCCTCCAGCGTTTTTAGAATTTCTGGGCACAAACCAGGAACTTCCTGGATAGGAACTAAGTTCTGATTGATATCTCTCTGGACAAGATTAGGATGTGAAAGCCACTCTGGTAAAACTGGTTGTACCTTTAAAAAAAAAAAAAAAATACATATAAACTTGCTGGTGGGACTTAGTGTAAAAAGACCGACAGTTAATGGAAGAAGAAAACTACAAAATACAGAAAGAAGTAGTAGTTAATGTTTTACATTTACCTTCTCCACGGTTTTAATTTCAAAGTCTCCGAGAAGAATATGGCTATGATCTACAGAGTCTATATTTGCTTTTGTTGTGCTATTTTCTTTCATGCTTTTTTCACTCTGTGTTAAATTTTCTTCCTTTTGTTTCTGAAGGCTTTCTTCCTGGAGGTCCTTTCTGCATACCTTTTTCCTCTTTACTTGCTCAGTGCATTGCACCTCTTCCTCACGCTTCTCATCATGGGGCCTTTCCAGCTCAACAGTTTCATCTTTGTCTTGCTTTTTCTTGCGCTTTTTATTTTTCCTTGGTCTCTCTATTTCTTTTTCATTTTTACCTGGTGTACTATCTGCAGAGGGTTCTCTTTCTGCTACTATGTGGCTAGATTTAGGGGTTAACTTGACGCTTTGCTGTCCTTTAGGGATTAAGTTGACTCTTTGCTGTTCTTTCTGTATCTGCAGTTGTCTCTCCTTGGCCTGCTGATGCAACTTTTCCAGGAGGACTTTGGAGCGATCTTCGGATGAATCCTCCTCATCTCCAAGGTATCTAAAATGTAAAGAAGCAAAAAAAGGAAAACGAAATTATAAATTGCATTATGCAAAAACAAAATACTAAAATTTATATTATATATATATATATAAAAAAAATACAGTTTTATAGTAAGGCATCTTTATAAATGTGTATATTGTTATATTCTGCTGAAACTTTTGCAAAAAGAACAAAACATTAATTCAACTCAATCCAAAAATTGGTATAAGTGTATTTTTGCATATCTTATTATTTGCCATTTTCGTTCAGGTGTGATTGTGGCACAATAAGCAAAATAACTCCAAATAATAAAATTTGCTAAAATACACTTTTACCCCTACATTCTAGGTAAGGCAAATAGTATATGAGAGTTAGTTATTCTGCTTAAATCGCACCTGAACGAAACGGCAAATAATAAAATACACTAAAATACACTTTTACCCCAAAATTTATTGCAATCCTGAAGCAAGAGAATGAACGTCAACATAATATAATCCTGAAAGAAGTTGGTAAAGTAGTGGGCATATTGTCAGCTAGGGCAGACTCCCACACTTTGAAGCTAATTTAACAGAATGCATGGAAACGTCGTAATAGCCGACCAATATAGAGACTATCTCTGAAGGGAGAAGTAATGTGAAAGAGCATTATACTGAAGATGGCTCAGGAAAACTGAATATCTTATCACCCTGAGAATTATTTGAGCACAGCTAGTCCCAAGCAGAGAATAAAAACCGTGCACTACCACAAATGATAGTGAGTGAGTACAGTAACTATGCAAGCCAGACATTGCTGGAATAACACACCAAGCAAGCAGACTGAATGCACACAGAGCGCTTATTTATATTCCCACACCGTGTTTCCGTATTGTCTCATTTATACAGATATGAAGGGTGCGTGCATATTATCCGAAAGGACACACCTGTTAATGACAAACAGTGACATTTCCACCTAGATGATGAAAACACAGAATAGCAGCTTCTTTGCAGATAAATGTCCACATGGAGGGTCGCAGAGTGATGACGTCGGAAACATAGACTCCAGGAAGTTCTCAGAGTAGCTAGTAAGGAACAGCTACCCCTGTTGTCGCGGAGTTTTTTGTATTCGGGTCTCAAAGTGGAAAGGATTGTTTGCAGCAGTGTTAATGTACAAACTTTATTAAACACTGAAAATAGGTGCAAAGCTTGGCACCACATAGAAACAGTAATAGAAACAATAATAGAATACAGTTTGTAGCAGATGTTAATCCACCTATTCACACAATAGTTATTTTCCAGGGAATTATTTTCTTATCGCTGGTAATCACTTTTAGGCTGGCATATGCACCATGTTTTCCTGGACACAGATCACTTCTTCATGTTGATGGGAACCACATGGAAAGTGTTGTCCTGCAGTATGTAGTATTCGTATGCTGCAAGATTCCTCAGCCATTAGCTACATACTGCAGGGTAGCACTTTTCAGGTACTTAGTTGGGTAACTTTGTGGAGTTCATTCTTTCTGTTTAGTATTTAGCTGTCCAACTAGTGCTACCGACAGCATTTTGCAAAGATATTGGCCACTTCTGTTGAAACTGAGCATATGGCTTTCTAGGGGAAAGATTTCACCTCTTCTATTGCAACCTTGAAGGCTAAAATCCTGACTTCATTCAATGTGGAGATTGATAAAACTTGTAAACAGTGTCTATATTTTGCAATTTGTATGCCCCTTGATTATTTTTGCATAACTAGAGTGGGGTAAATCAAGCAAATAAACTCTTCTGTGATGCAGGAGAACATTTTTAGCACCAACACCAATTTTTTTATTTTTAAACTCTTTTTATGTAGTGTTTAGTTTTGCTGACACATAGTTAACTATAGTCAACATTCACGACAATTTCAAAATTATACATAGTTTAAGAAATACCTAAAGAATCATAACCACTACAGCCCAATATAGTGGTTATGGCGCCCTTGGTGCACACCCAGAGTAAGAAGTCAAACAGTTTTAGAAAGGGTTGACTGCTGCTCCCTGCCTCCATAAGCTCCTAAGCAGAGCTCCTATTAGCTCTCCTGTTCCAAGAATGGTGGTGGAGGGTTTTGCTCACTGGCTAAGAGCAATCAACTGATGCTCTCCGACCATGAGGTATCACTCACCTGCAGGGCTTAGCTAAGCGTTTCCCAATTGGGGTTCAGCGGCGATTTGCCTGTCAGGTGCCCAACCATTTAGAGTCATCAGATGGGTATCGCTAAACAGGAGTCTGGTCAGGCGCCACAGCCGTCTAAGATGACGACCGGACCCCTGTTGTATGGGATGCTGGGAGGAAGAGACAGAGCGCGCCTGTTAGAACGCCGGCTGGAGAGAGAAAGGGAGCAGCCTGGCACACCAGCCACAGCCAGCAGCACTGAAGGAAAAAAAAGGTAAGTTAACAGCAAATATATGTCTATGTGTACTTATGTCAGTGTGTGTGAATCTGTTTGTGCATCTGTGTGTCAAGCAGGGGCGTACCTAGAGCATTTGGCACCCGGGTCGGATCCTGTGCTTGGCACCCCCCTCTTCCCCCTCAAAAAAACCTGTAAAAATGTTAAAGGTTTTATTTCTTTTATTTTTACAATTTGTAAACTTTGCAAAACGCTGTCAGCCCCTCCTACAAAACCCTTGTCCTGCTCTGCCCCTCCTACAAAACCTCTGTCCTGCCCCTTCTACAAATCCTGTACTGCCCCATCTACAAAACCCCCGCAACCCCCTTCCACAAATCCCCTGCTTATCCCCCCTTATAAAGACTCCTGTCCCAATACAAAAACCCCACCCCCTTCTACAAAATCCCTGCAGCCCTACACACACATTTACAGGCAGACAGTCACACACTCAGTTACAGACAGACAGTCACACACTCAGTTACAGACAGACGGTCACACATACACATTTCCTCCGTGCGGCCAGTTTATCAGCTGTTTGCTTGAGTGAGCTGTACTGGCCGCACGGCACCCTAACTACAGGACACTGTCGCGACCACAGCTCTCACACAGCCCCCCCTCCAGCCAGGAGCGGTACAAGAGTTTTTGCGCCCAAGGCAAAAGTAAGTTTACCGCCCCCCCATGTGACATCACAATGCCCCAGCCATATGATTTGCCATGTTAATAGCGCCAGTGCTGCGGTGCGCCGTGTTTACATTAAAAGGCCTGCAGGGACAGGCTATGGACACCAGAACCACTACATTAAGCTGAAGTGGTTCTGGGGACTAGAGATTAGTGCCACGAATAATATACTAGATTGCTTACTTACAACCAGATGAGGATGATGATGGGCTCTAGCTGCAGTCTGGCTCCACTGGTCTGGTGTAGAACAGGCTTTCTGGAGGCTGTTTGTAACTGTGGTCACAAAAATCAATGTTCTGGGAGAATGGGAAGCAGCTCCATTATTTGGGGGCCCTTTACACAGCTCAAGGTCTGGGTCCCAGGGTCCACCTTCATGTTCCACCAATGAGTTTGTTCACGGGGGTGGAGTGTGTAGGGGATGTCCTGATATGTGTGTAAGGAATGCATTGTGTGAATCTGTGTTTGTATGTGTAAGGGCTGCAAGGTATGTTTCTGTGTATGTATGTATGTATGGGATGCATTGAATGTGTGTAAGGGGTGCATTGAGTGTGTGTAATGAATGCATTGTGTGTTTCTGTGTGTGTAAGGGATGCATTGTGTGTAGGGTTGAATTGCTTGTGTGTGTGTGTCTGTGTGTGTAATGAATTGTGTGTTTTTCTGTGTGTAAGGGGTGCATTGTGTGTGTGTGATGGATGTCAATCTCTCCCCCCTCCCTTGTCACTCTCTTCTCCCCCTCTCCCTCCCTCGTCACTCTCTTCTCTCCCCCCCTTGTCTCTCTTCTCCCCCCTTGTCCCTCTCTTCTCCCCCCTCTTGTCCCTCTCTTCTCCCCCCTCCCTTGTCACTCTCTTCTCCCCTGCGTGTCCCTCTCTTCTCCCCCCTCCCTTGTCACTCTCGTCTCCCCCGTTGTAACTCTCTTCTCCCCTCCCCACTCTCATTCCCCCTCCTAACCCCGTCAATTCCCCTCCCTGTCAATTTCTCCCCCCCACCTTGTCAATTTATTCCCCCCACCCTGCCTGTCCATTTATTCCCCCACCCTGCCTGTCCATTTATCCCCCCTCCTCCCTGTCCATTTATTGATAGCTGGGGAGATTTTTGTATTGATTGTTTTTTTGATCGTTCTCACAAACATTTTTTATTTATTTTTCGTATTTTGATATTATTTATCCAATTTAACTTCCAGTTACTATTTACATGTCTGGAGTATCGTCTTCAGATTTGTGAATTTTTTTTTTTGATGTTCTAAATAGGGGTTAAGCCCCATATGACACCACTGGAGTGTCAATAAAGGTGTTTGTATCTATGGAGTAGGTATTTTTACCCTATCCATAGATATATTTTGATTTTTGAAATATTACCCTGAATTAATAAGGGAAGTTATTTATGTTTATTAAGTGTTTAAATTTAAGTTTGGATTTTGTTGTAGATTTTCTTTTCTGTTTTGCTGCATTTATGACAAACTGATTGCTGCTTGGATTTTTGTAAATAAACCACACTTTTTTGCATAAGAGACTGTTGCCCTGTAACTGATACCCTAGAGGACCAATCTAAAAAGTCAAAATAGATATGCCTATTTACGGCTATGCCTATATGGTTTAATAGTTCAATGTTAAATATCTCTTTAAGAGGTCTAATAGATGTGCATTGTTATTTACATAGAAAGGTGCCAGTCTAAGTGTCTTATTGTACATTCTTGATAAAGTTATTTGGAGGACAAAAGGCGTAGGCTGTTCCGTCAGCACGTTAGGATTAGACTGAATCCAATCTTTCTAGGTAACATTACTGTTTCAAACAATTTGTACAGGGCCTGGATCCTAGTTGCTTTTGAGATGCACAAGTGGCAGTAAATTGTGATGTCCCTAGATATTTCTATGAAAGCTGGTTGTCTTATGGTCCTATGTACTCTGTCCAAGAGTAATTAGCAGTCAGGGAAAACTGTTAATATGATACAAAACTATTTAAGCAAGTAAATACAAATATCATTGATCATTTCTGGGATATTCCTAACCCTAACTTTAAACCTCCTTGATTTGTAATTCAGGTCTTCTAAGGAGTCATGTAGTACCCCGTTAATGTGTAGAACATAAATTAATTCACTTAAATGTACTTTTTGGATATCTTTTTTATTTTTATCTTGACTGATCCATCAAATGCTAAATGTTGCATGTCTGCTGCAATTAACCAGTTTTTGTGAATTCACAAAAAGGTATCTATTTTACAAGGTTAAAACATTTTAATATTTCATAGAATACAATCAAGAAAATACATTGTGGAAGTAATTTGAGTTGTTTTAGCAGAAGTACATTAATTGCCCATTTTGCATTCAATTAATTGGTATCACTACTTTAGGTATACATATCTTAGTCTAGTACAGGACATGTATACTCTGTACAAATAATAAAATTGCAATTTAATAATGTGGGTCTCGAAAAATACATATACAACCTCTATTTAAAAGTACAGCTGCTACTATGCTTGTGTTCAACTTTATCAAAAAACACACAAAAGAATGTGTTTGAATTACCTCTGGCAAGTATTTTGTGGTTATATTTCAGAAAAACATTGGTCGATTGTAATGCTAATTATGCGGGTATGTAATCCCATATTTCAAGCAGTTGAAGATGAAACAGTCTTAAGAGAACACAGAGTAAATATTTTATGATATGTACAGACAAATTATTATAATAGTTTACTCGCCTTATTTCCCATAGAAAAAGGATTACTCCAACCATGAAGCTGTGCTCTGCCATGTGTTTTCCAAATGTGGGAACGAATTTGGCGATAAAGTTCATGCTTTTTTCCTCTTAATGGCACTCTATCACAATCTCTATCAAAATGATATAAATAGCCGGTTGTTAAACCATAAGTGGACTATGTCTTTCTATAATGGTCAATTCTTGCAGAATTCTAGAATTCTACAGAAGCAACATGAACATTACTCTAATAACAGGAAAAAGTCCTAATTTCCATGGACTATTTCCAATATAACAACAAAAATATTACAACTACAATAATTCTTTGTGATAAAAAACTTAAAACAGTACTTAGCTCAGTATGACAAAAACAGCTTCCTAAGAGGCCTTCCCCAACAACTCTTCTAATCAGACATGTAAATATATACAAAAACTGGGATACAGCAGAGTTCTAAAATGCAAAAGATGAACAGTACATAGTGATGTATATTAATAAGTGTGAATACGGCATCTATAGATTGCACTCACAGGATAGAAGTTCAAGAAGCGCCTTAAAGCCCAAAAGGGCTGCAGTAATCCGCTCTCCTCCTTGGACTGTGATTGAAGTACCTGCCTCTGCAGAGCAATCTAAAGACAGAGTCAGGGGTCAAATTAAAAATTAATCTTTTATTAGGCAAAAAGAGCGTGATGTGTAGAAATCGTAAAACCAAATAGATATTTTTACCTATGTTTATTTGATTTTACTATTTGTATATATCAGGCTCTTTTTGCCTAATAAAACATTAATTGGAGGGCGTGGCTGACCGCCGAGCAAGATGGCCGCACACTAATCTGCTCTGGCACATGGGCTCCTTAACTTTATAAAATTACACCAGCAGAAATCTCCAAACAACCCCCAGAAACATGTCTCACTACAAAAATAAGAAAACCTCAACCAAAGGAGATAAGCAAAACTTATTTGGCCAAAACACGGCTGTGATGATGGAGACCGACAAAACATGCCTACAAGATGGAGAGGGGCCAAGCGAGAGCGCGACCGCGTGGCCACCCAGCGGGACTCACGGAGCTCTGAAATGCTAACTAAATCCTTCTTTGAAGCAGCTATGGACACGATGTCCACAAAACTAATTGCAACTTGGCAACTCACAGCAACACAACTGAAAACTGAAATAGCAAATCGTACCAGCAGAATGACCCGCATAGAATCAGACTGCAAAGCACGGACGATGTTTCAAAATGATATGGCCGACCATGTACAGGCGCTGGAACACAAACTAAACACCATGGAAACCCGCATGGCCGACACAGAGGACGGGGCAAGGAAGAATAACTTACGCCTTGTAACCAAGCGACCTCCAGGTATACGTGAGGGGCCTCATGCATGCCTATGCTCCAGGAATACCAGCGACATGCTACTAGTGGAGTCCACTGGGTCCCGAAACCCACTTACCTCCCAGACACGACGCCCTGCGATGTCCTCCTCCGAGGAACTGGTCCTCCGCTCAAGCAGAAGCAAACCAGATGCGCACCCCAAATATCCCAGCGTGCGCATCATGGCGGACTTGTCAGCGGCAACACTACGTAGAAGGAGAACCTTCAACACAGTCATGGTGGAACTGCGAAAGCACAACATCAAACATCGCTGGGGATACCACACGAAACTAATCATCACCAAAGACGGAGAAACCTTTCACGATCAACACCCCAGAAGAAGGGACAACCCTGCTGGCCAACTGGGGCCTAAGCACCAGGCGACACTCGGGCACTACCTTATCCCCACGCCGCTCCGCTACTATGGGCACAGCACAAGCACCTGAACGGAGACGTGCTGTAGATACCACCTAAGTTGCAAGTATAACCTCCCTAATAGGAGCCATTAGCCTACTAAGAACTTACTATGGCAAACAAGTTGAGACAGTTTAATGGTTTAGACATATCACTATAAATGTGGTCATGATGTTGTTCTGATGCTGCTCTGAGGGAACGATATAGGCTGACTAGCACTACTGAATGTTCCGCTATGCAGAGGAAGTGACAGGCTCCCAAAAAATGATTGTGACGAAGTGCCCTTCGCCACTTGGTACTGGAGAGGCCTGCTTGCCAGCCTCCTTCCCTGTGACTATGACTCTTTGATGTATTTGCCTTTAAAGCCCCTATTCTACCTTCAGACATACTATTTATGTAGGCTGCTTTATTTATCTTATGTTTTAGTCACCCTGTACCCATTATAGGTGCAGGGTGTGTGTAATGTAATTGTTTATAGTGTGTGTGTGTACTGTGAAATGTATTGCCTTCTCTCCTGTACTGCTGAGGTTTGCTACCAACTAGGTGGGTTTGGCTATGGAGCTGGTCTAGTGCCCTCTGTTGGTAGCAACAGCAATATGCACTACCTGAATTGCAAGACTGGTTCATTTGCATATTCGGGTAGATTTGCATATTGCTAATTCTGCAGGCAGGTGAGATATTTACTGTTAAATATTGTCTCCCCCCACCCCTTTAAAAATGTGCCATTGTGTTGTGATAAGTCACTGTGTGTTTCTTGATATGGTTTGACTGTTTGTGATTTTATTGAGTTTTCACAACAATGTTATTGTGGTGACTGTATTGGCTGGTCCCAAGGGAATAAAGGTTTTGACAGTTCTTCTTGATCCCTCTAAACGTAGCCTTGTCTCGTTATTGGAGGGAGTTGTTATAATCACACTTTTGCTACGATTGCTATGCTCTGCATGCTCCCCTGAGCTTGAATCACTTAACTCTTTTAAGAGCTTGTTCCTGACATGCTCTCCTTGGAGGAGGGGTCTTCACCACACAGTTCTGGAGGCTGGAGGTTTGTACAGGGTGGAAGGAAGAGTTCTTTCCCACACAGTCCTGGAGGACAGAAGCTGATCCAGGGTGGAAGGAAGACGGCGAGACTCCAGTCAAGATACAGCGGTTGTGGAGTCTGCGGTGGTTGTGGTGTCTGCTGCACTGCTTGGAGTCCTCAGGAAGCGCTAGGAGCATCCGTCAACGGAGGGTACTCGGTCGGAGTACAAGGAGCTCCGTTACATTGGTGGCAGCGGTGGGATGGTGTCCTAGTGCGAGGAGAAGCAGCTCGGAGACACTGGTATCGTATGAGAGGTTATTGAGGGCAACGCTAGCCACTGTGCAGCGTCCCTAACTACAGCAGCATGGAGCAGGGATGGATAGAGCCCTGCGAAGAGCACCTCAACAGGATACGTCGCTACGAGGACGACGCTTACATTGAGGAGGTAAAGAGGCGGTTGGTCTGCTATGGCCCAGACCTTTCGAACGAGGTGGTCCACCAAGTAATGCGCCAGTTGAGTGCTGAGAACAGTGCGGCAATGGCCTTTGAGCGAAAACTGTGGAGGTTGAGGATATGGACACCTAGTCTCCAGCGACAGTGTAAGTTCCAGGGAGCCGAAGGTGTCGTCCTTCCTCCCCAGCGGCAGTGCAAGTTCCAGGGAGCTGAAGGTGTCGTCCTTCCTCCCCAGCGGCAGTGCAAGTTACAGGGAGCCGAAGGTGTCGTCCTTCCTCCCCAGCGGCAGTGCGAATTCCAGGGGGCCGAAGGTGTCGTCCTTCCCCCGCAACAGCAGCAGTGTGTCCTACAGGGAGCAGAGACAGTTGGTCTCTCTCTCCAGCAGCAGGACATTGTTATGGGAGTGGAGACAGGCGGTCTCCCTCTCCAGCGGCAGCCTGTGTTTCAGGGAGAGGAGCACAGCACCCTATCTCCCCAGCAGCAGCTTACCCCACCAAGGGGAGACACCAATCTCCCAGATGGCGCAGATGGGACCGTGGTCTCTGTGCCTGACCTATAGGGATGCTGGACAGCCTGTCCAGATCCCCAACTACCCTCACAGGGACAACAGGAAGAGGGGGTAAGTACGAATTCCCCTCCCCAGCTAACTCCTAACTTGGCCCCAGGGTTAACAGAGGAGATGTTAACCCCCACTGACTCCCATGTTCCCCTGGCTACTGAGCCGGACTATGTTCCCAGCACCCCAGCGGAAGAGCTGGCAGCTGGGCAGAGTGCAGTCGGCCTCTGCCCTCCCTTTGTCCCTTGTCCAGAGCCTGATGTCCTGCAGGCTATACCAGCGGAAGAGCTGGCAGCTGGGCAGAGTGCAGTCAGCCTCTGCCCTCCCTTTGTCCCTTGTCCAGAGCCTGTTGTCCTGCAGGCTATACCAGTGCAGTCGGCCTCTGCCCTCCCTGTGTCCCTTGTACAGAGCGTGACATTCTGCCGGCTACCCCAGCGGAAGAGCTGACATCAGGGCAGAGCGCCGCTGGCCTCTGCCCTACCGACCCCCTTGTTACAGGACTGGTCTGCAACCCCCTCTCCCCAGCAGAAGTGCAGGCATCAGGGCAGAGCGCCGCTGGCCTCTGCCCCTCAAGTCCCCACAGCGTGTTGCCCCATCACCCCAGAGGAATACCCAGGTGCAGTCACTGTTTGCTGTGGGTGGGCTGCTCTAATAACTGTTTGTTGTGGGTGGGCTACTCTGGCACTTGCATATGGTCGGTGGGTGAATCGACTAACTTAGGCACTGACCGACAGAAAGTCAGGTGCCTGGTTAGTCTTCCCCCCGAAGGGGAGATATGTGACGAAGTGCCCTTCGCCACTTGGTACTGGAGAGGCCTGCTTGCCAGCCTCCTTCCCTGTGACTATGACTCTTTGATGTATTTGCCTTTAAAGCCCCTATTCTACCTTCAGACAGACTATTTATGTAGGCTGCTTTATTTATCTTATGTTTTAGTCACCCTGTACCCATTATAGGTGCAGGGTGTGTGTAATGTAATTGTTTATAGTGTGTGTGTGTACTGTGAAATGTATTGCCTTCTCTCCTGTACTGCTGAGGTTTGCTACCAACTAGGTGGGTTTGGCTATGCACTACCTGAATTGCAAGACTGGTTCATTTGCATATTCAGGTAGATTTGCATATTGCTAATTCTGCAGGCAGGTGAGATATTTACTGTTAAATATTGTCTCCCCCCACCCCTTTAAAAATGTGCCATTGTGTTGTGATAAGTCACTGTGTGTTTCTTGATATGGTTTGACTGTTTGTGATTTTATTGAGGTTTCACAACAATGTTATTGTGGTGACTGTATTGGCTGGTCCCAAGGGAATAAAGGTTTTGACAGTTCTTCGTAGCCTTGTCTCGTTCATGAAAGGGGAATCTATGCAGCTTAATCACTTAGCTCTTTTCAGAGCTGCACCTGGTTTCCACTCCTGATCCAGCAGAAGGGAATAGGCGACTCCATCACTACACAGCGACTGCCAGGAAGAAAAGGACGTCCCTAACGGCTGGTACCCTCTCTACACCAGGGTAGCCGTTACAATGATTAATCATAGTTGGGGGTGGGGGGAACGGGGGCCCTGCCTCCGCTCCCGCTCCATCCTCGGCCGCTCCGGTCGCGGGGTCGGCCCGGTGGGGGAGTGGCGGCGGCTAGGGGGGGCTGCCCAGAGGTTAAGTATAACATGCGAGAGGCAGAGAAGCACAAGGTACCCCAAACTAAGACAGATATGGACAAACGTAAAACACGACACCATGGGTGAAGGGGTTTAAGACAATCTGGGCAGGACGCTTATCAAGAGATATATGCACCAGGGAGCAAAAGCGGTGGTGACCCCCCAACTGAGACCCAAATCGCTATTAACCACATAAGCCTAGCGAAACCGACAAGAGGGACACAAGTAATATCTATCACGTTCTCATGAGTAAAATGGCGACCACCAGATGCACTCCCACACCGACCTAGAACCAAATCAGCCAACAACCAAAGGGACCCATCTAGGACCCCTAATCTCAAGACGCTATGACAGAGTACTGCATGGGTTGCTAGGCAAAATGGCGAACAAGTTGAGACATCTGCACACAGCCACCCCAGCGAACACAGGGGAACATGAGACGTGAGGAAAGAATGGCAGCCACAACTAGATATGGGCCACCCTTACTCTAATAAAATGAGACAGACCGCGGCACAGGACTGCAGCGAAACAAGCAAAACAGACAAAACACCACAGTAAACATTTTTTAAAAAATTGTTACGTTAAGCAACCCTGCTGAAAGAGATTTCTGCTCCACAGGCAATACTCACTAAGGAGCCTGTGACGGACAGCTGGCACTCCGACCGAGTACCTCCGCCAATCGATGCTCCTAGTGCTTGCTGAGGACTACAAACACTCCAACCGACACCATCCGCACTGCAGACCCCACTTCCAGTGATGCAGCTGCGTCGGGGTCTCGCCGTCTCTCACCCACCCTGGATCCAAGGCCAGGATCCAGCTTCCAGTGGGTGAACCTCTCCTAACTCCAGAGAGCAGGAACCAGGAACAAGCTCTTACAGGAGCTTATACTCAGGGGAGTATTGTGATATAGCAATCCCCAAGAGTGTAGTTATCCCATCCCCCAAGCATGAGCCAAGGCTTCAAGAAAGGGTCAAGTAGTTCTGTTTAATGCAAGCCAGCACTTACTATTTATACAAACATTTAAACCCCCAACAGCCTCATTTACATACAATAGGTTACATAGATTACTATAGTACAAGGAAGGGTGGGGTCAGACAATAGCAAGGGCTAATTGGAGATTGAGGAGGGACAGAGCAGCTAGTTTAAACTCCCTGGGACAACGCCCTGTTGGGGAAACAATAGGACAGGAAAAAGGGGGAGGGGAGAGGCACAGATAACATTCAACATACTCCTCCTCTGTGTCTGAGAGATAATTGATTATCTTTAGGTACAGAAAAATACACAATTTACAAACACCCCAAGAGTACCCCCAAGATCCATGGAAACCCCACAAGAGTCACATCCTCTGATAGCCCTGATCTGGGTGATCAACATATCCAAAAATCA